GGGTTTAGGGTTTGGCGGGGGGAGGGTTTAGGGTTTATGGGCGGGGAGGGGTTAGGGGGGGAGAGGGTTTAGGGGTTAGGGTTTAGGAGGGGGAGAGGGTTTTGGGTTTATTGGGATTGAGGGTTTAGGGTTATTAGGGTTTAGGGTTTAGGGCTATTAGGGTTTAGTGCTATTAGTGTGATTAGGGTTTAGGGTTACTAGGGTTTAGGGTTTAGGGTTTAGGGTTTAGGGTTTAGGGTTTAGGGTTTGTGGTTAGGTACCTGGACACATCGTTGGTGATGACTGCTTTTCGGAATTCGCGGCATCGTGTTTTCTTTTTTGATTGCGAGGGGACCCTGGCCCCTGACCAGAGGAGACTGGCGATGATGTGAGGGTTTAGGGTTTAGGGTTTAGAAGGGTTTAGGGTTTAGGAGGGTTTAGGGTTTAGGAGGGTTTAGGGGTTTGGGGCTAGAAGGGGTGAGCCGTTTGTTCTGGGTGGTGTCGTTTTGTTTGTCTCCTTTTTCTCTTTCCTTTCTTTTCTTGCACTATATAAATAAAAATAAATAAATATAATAAAACATATAAAAACGAATATAAATAAATATATTTTATTTATTTTTATACAGGCAAAAAAACGGAGAAGAGTTGTTTGCTGCTGGGCGGCCCCCATCCCCGCAGGTGCAGCGCTGTCTCCAAGCTCTCTTAAAAAACCCTAAAAATACAGTTGTTATACTCAGCGGCAGAGACAAAACCCTACTACAGGAGTGGTTTATAGATGTAAAGGGAATAGGTTTATGTGCCGAACACGGTGAGTATTTGTCTCTTTATTTATTTATTTTATTTATTTATTTTATTTATTTATTTTATTTATTTATTTTATTTATTTATTTGTTGTTTTTATTTAGAAAAAAAACAAAAAAAATACAGTTTTTATTCGATGCGGCAGAGACAAAACCCTACTACAGGAGTGGTTTATAGATGTAAAGGGAATAGGTTTATGTGCTGAGCTTATTTATTTATTTATTTATTTATTTTATTTTATTTTATTTATTTATTTTATTTATTTTATTTATTTATTGTTTTTATTTAAAAAAAAAAAAACAAAAAAAATACAGTTTTTATTTTTTGCGGCAGAGACAAAACCCTCCTACAAGAGTGGTTTATAGATGTAAACACGGTGGGTATTTATTTATTTATTTTATTTTATTTTATTTTATTTATTTATTTTATTTTATTTTGTTTGTTTTGTTTATTTGTTTTGTTTATTCTATTTGTTTATCTATTTGTTTGTTTTATTTATTTACCTTTATAGACCCTGAAAACACCTAATCATTATTTTTTCTGGTTCTGCTGTTGCTGCTGCTGCTGCTGCTGCTGCTGCTCATACTGCTGCTGCTGCTGCTGCTGCTGCTGCTCCTCCTCCTCCTCCTCCTCCTACTGCTGCTGCTGCTGCTGCTCCTCCTCCTCTTCCTACTACTCCTACTACTACTACTGCTGCTGCTGCTCTTGCTCCTGCTGCTGCTCCTACTGCTGCTGCTGCTGCTCTTGCTGCTGCTGCTGCTGCTGCTGCAGGGTATTACTATCGTCTAGATAAGATAACTGGGGACGAATGGGGCTGCATGTGCCCCGATGCGGACTTTACGTGGAAATCTGTTGCTGTTGAGTTGATGCTGCAGTATGTTAAGAGAACGCAGGGATCCTTCATAGAAAATAAAGTAAACCCTAAACCCTAAACCCTAAACCCTAAACCCTAAACCCTAATTTTATTATTTTATTTAAAATATTAATATGCTGATATTAGATGGTAGTTCTCTATAGAGTTGATGCTGCAGTATGTTAAGAGAACGCAGGGGCCCTTCATAGAAAACAAAGTAAACCCTAAACCCTAAACCCTAATTTTAAGGGTTTAGGGTTTAGGGTGTTGGTGGTGTGTGGGTGTTTCCTTCTGTGATTAGTGTTTTATACTTTTCCAGGGTTTCGGGTTTAGGGTTTAGGGTTTCGGGTTTAGGGTTTCGGGTCTAGGGTTTAGGGTTTCGGGTTTAGGGTTTAGGGTTTCGGGTTTAGGGTTTAGGGTTTAGGGTTTAGGGTTTGTGTGCAGGGTAGCGCGCTGGTGTTTCAGTATAGAGACGCAGACCCAGACTTTGGGCAGCTCCAGGCCAAGGACCTCTCCAGCCACCTCAGGTAAACCCTAAACCCTAAACCCTAAACCCTAAACCCTAGATACACTCTAGCCACCTCAGGTAAACCCTAAACCCTAAACCCTAAACCCTTGATATACTCTAACCACCCCAGGCAGACCCTAAACCCTAAACCCTTGATACAATCCAGCCACTCTATTCAACACATGCACACACACGCTAAACCCTAAACCCTAAACCCTAAACCCTAGCAGCAACACGTCGGTTCTCTTTTGGTGCGGTCCTGGGGCCCCCACCCGATACGAGAGCCGCATAAAGAGAACCAAACCCTAAACCCTAAACCCTAAACCCTAGATGCTTTAGCAGCGTCTGTCTGCATATCTGTGGTTTGTTGCGGCAGCCAGGAGATAATTAGGGTTTAGGGTTTAGGGTTTAGGGTTTAGGGTTTAGGGTTTAAAGGGTTGATATCCAGCAGCCTAAGAAAAAAAATAAATATTTATATTTCTGTTTTTTATTTTCTTTTTGCTGCTGCTGCTGTTGCTGCTGCTGCTGCTGCTGCTGCTGCAACAATTATGTGTGCTTTTGTTATTTTGTTTCTTCTGCTGTTTCTCCTGTTCCTGCTGCTGTTTCTCTTGCTGCTCTCGCTGCTGCTGCCT